TTGGTCTTTTGATGCTGTCCTATAATTCTTGGATGTTCTGTTCATGGTTTCTAACTATCTTCATTGTGTGATCAACTTTATTTTCCAGATTATATATACTTTGTCTTCATTATCTGACATTCTTTCTTCCAAGTGAGATAGTCTATTGGTTATGCTTTCTATTGAGTTTTTTATTTGATTTATTGTATCCTTCATTTCAAGGATTTGACTGTTGTTTTTTTTTTCAGAGTATCTCTCTCTTGAAGTAATCTTTTGCTACCTGTATTTGCTCTCTTATCTCACTGTTGGAGTGATCAATCTTTGCTTGTATTTGCTCATTTAGGTCTTCTTTAATTCACTGATCATTTTAATTATGAACTTTCTGAACTGCTTCTCTGACATCTCATCAACTTTGCTGTCCATGGGTTCTGTTATTAGAGTGTCCTGGTTTGTTTGGGGCACTTTCCTCCCTTGTTTTTTCATGGTGTCTATGTCTTCCTTTCTTGCAGAGTGGATCTGAGATATTAGTTTCTTCCCTGTGTTCTTGTAGTACCTGTGCATATTGTCTGTACCTCACCTTGATGTTGGGCTTACAGACCCTGCTGGTGTCCCTTAATGAATGCTACTGCATCCTGGATCTGGATCCTGCTTAAGTTGGAGTGGGTGGATCTGGGCTGCTTGCCTTGACCTCCCGCGGTAGTCTGCTAGTTGGAAGGGGAAGTCCTGCACCAAAGGATAGGCTCTGGTGGTGTCTGTCCCACCTAGGGAGGGGTGAACTGGGCCTACTGAGAGCCTGATTCCCATATAGGCTGGTGTGGGCAGTCTGGGCTGGATCTTGGCTCCCCGGTAGTCAACTGGTCAGAAGGGGTGGTTCTGCACCAGAGGCTAGGCTCTAGCGAGTATGTGCCCCTCCAGGGAAGGGGTGGACCAGGCCTGCTGTGTTTCTGGGCCCTGCAGAGGCCGGTGTGAGTGGATCTGGCTCCCTTATTTTGAACATGGCAATACCATGTTTAAAAATTGATAAAACAATTAGGATTACAGGAAAATCTCAATACTAAATAAGTATAAAAAGCATGCTCTCCTAACACAACATGGAATAATTGCTTACTTTTTTGTTTCTAATATGTTATGTCTTAATATTTTATATTCATAAAGTCTAGGTAGGATGAGCCTGTTAGATGATCTGTTATATACCCTCATTAGAGTATTGCCTAACTCAACTAATCTTACGCCAAAAGATCAGAATCCTTGTCATCATACTTATGTTTTCTACTTTTTTTTTTTTTTAGGTCTTTCAATCATTGATTTCCAATTTGCCTGTTACTCAGACTGTAAAATTGTGAGATTCATAAGCTTTAATAAGCCCTTCATGACCTATTATTTAGGCTTTTAATTTTTCTTAATAACTTTCACTTCAGATGTATTAGGAATTCTCTTTCCCATGTGTGTCTTTCAAACATGTTTGGAGTAGGTATCTTTAAACACCAAAACCACAAACATATTTTAGTTTGTAAAGTGGGCATTGAACTGATCCACATAGTCCTTCCCTAGAAGGCTTTTCTGGTATCACTCTATTAATTTTTACTAGATTTAGAGAAAATAGATATTCTGCTGTAAAAAAAAATTGATTATTTTTGTTTCTTAAACTTATTTGTATGAAAAAAAAACAGGAGTAAAAAAGTAGTGTATCTCTCTCCATGTAATTGCATGTGCCTCTGTATACACAGTGTACATATATTTGTTTTTATATTCCACATGTGGATAATACTTGTCTCTTTCTGTGCATCATCTGTTTCCTGTGACTATCAGATAACGTAAATTATTGACCTCAACACATCTATTGGACAAATAAATGACACAAATTATTCATATTATTCTGATTATTTATATAAAGTGTAAGAAAAATTAACTAATGAATTCAGACCTGTCACTCAATTTCCTTTTTTTTTTTTTTTGGTATCCAAATTCATGTATATGAATTTGTATTTGAATGGTTTAAAAATATTTAAATAGTTAGATCTTGAATATAGTATATGTTGTTGTATACCAAATGCCCATGACATATAAGTCCTACAAATTTAATTTATATTATATTTAATAGTATAATAGCATATACCAAAATATAAACTTTTGTATAGTTAGAATGCATGGCTTTTACTGTTTGGGGTTGTTACTTTGATTAGGTTAAGCTACTGATATTTAAAAAATTATATTCTGAGACATAAAAATAGCTATTAATTGGATTGGTATGTCTGGTGGGTTATATTTAAATCTTACAGTGTGATGTTAATTAGTATAAAATTCTACAATAGGACTTAGCTGTGGACCTTTACGATAGAACTCCCCTAGATGGATAATTTACTGTGTGACAACAAATGTTGTCAGATGGTGCTGCAAGTCTTGGTGGAAATCAGGTAAGAATGTAGAAGCCAAACCCCTTCTTAGTTACATGGAAAGCAGCTGAACTAGTTTCCTCCCAGATTGTGCATTTGTAGTCATCTTCAAGCAGGGGAGATATTGTAAACTACTGTTCTTAATGATAGATGAATAGAGTACTTAATTTTGGTTTGGAATTTTTATTATTGCTTCAAAAGATCATTGTATATCAAATTCTATTTCTATATTCATTGGTATTGGGTTAAGTAAAGTTTATAACTCAAGGATTGTCTACTGAGACAAATTAAAGGGTATAAAAGTCCCCAAATCACTTTGGATTCAGAAGTGTGATATCCTAAAAGGAACTTCAGTAGTCATGCAGAAAGCTCATTTCCTATTGCTGTTCTCAGGGGCTACTTTCATAGTTTCTTCCTCCCAATGACTGCAGTCCTGGAGATTATTGTAAATATGTGCTGTCAAACTCTCAGGCCATATTTAACACTATTTAATGAATTCCATGTCTTTTTGCTTATGAGTACTTAATGTTTGTAAATATTTATAGATATTTTTAATTTAAAAATATTAACACGTTTCTCATGATGAAAATCAGTGGCAGACATTCATTTTAAGCCATCAATTTAAAGAAGAAGACTTCTACTTACTGGGCAAGAAAAATTATTTGAAGAAGTATTTATCATATAATATGAATTATATATATATAAATTATTATTATATAAAATATAACAAAATTTCTCACTAAATTCCTGTTTCTGCTTTCCTCAATAGCTAAAGAAATGACTTTAGTGAAAATAAAGTGAAAATTTCAGTAATATATTTATAGTATAATTTAGATATTCTATCTCAGCGAAGGCTATTCTATGACAAGAGTTTCTAACAAAATAGGAAGCCAAATCTTTTCTTTCTATATTAGAGATAAGTAAGTTTTTTTTTGTGTGTGTGTGTGTGTGTAATAGTGCCTAGAATATAGCAAGTGCTATGTAAACATTGGGTATCATTTTTATTGTGTATCATGTAACTCATGAAAGTGTTATATGCCTTATTTGAGTTTCCTGCAATAACAGAATTAAAAATTAGAATTAAGTGCTAGGTTTGTGGCTCAGCAGTAGAGTGCTTACCTAGCATGTTGGAGGCCCTGGGTTGATCCTCAGCACCACATAAAAATAAATAAATAAAGGAGTCCAACTATAACTAAAAAATAAAATATTTTTTAAAAATTATAATTAAGTGCTTTTGTACTCAGAATTTGAAAAGTCATTATATTATTACTTGAGAACACCACATTCTAAGCTTGTAAAGTTATTCTGTCACCTCATTCTTCATTTCTTAGTGAAGAAAACAGATATCTTTTGTATATACCTCATTGCTGTGAAATTCTGTAAAATTTTATGTTAATAAATTGATGGAGTATAAGCACAAAGGCAATTTTAAATAACTACAAATAACTGCTGTTTTTGTAGATACACTGGGTTCTGCCTCCATCCCCCTTTTTTTATACCACAGATTGAACCCAAGGGTTCCACATTCCCAGCTCTTTTCATTTTTAATATTGAAATAGAGATTACAGGCATGTGCCACTGCACCCAACTGGGCTCTGCCTTTTTAAAAAATGTGCACTATAGTTTTAGTGAATGAATATTTTCTCATTTCCTTTTCATTTTGAGTTGAGTCCTGACTAAAAATAACCTATGAGCATAAGTATATAAATGATATTTAATATCAAATTTTTCAAATCTGTAAGTCTACTCTTATGTGTATTAATAGATCTATTAAATAGATTATTTAAACTATATGTGCTTTCCTATAAATATTATCATAAAATATATTTTAAGAAAATTAGATGGGATTTGACTACCTTGTGAAATAGATATTTGAGCTTTTCATAGATCATATATATTTGGAATTGATAATTTTTCCCTTTACATGAAAAGTGAATAACTAACAGAGCTGCATGTATGTTCTGAGTTTATGTTATCCTAAAGAGCCAAATATGAAAAAGGGTTAATAATAAGCTTTCATTAACTTTTTACTTATAACTGAACTTATTTTCTAATATAATTCACTTCTAATTAATTACCTTAATAAAAAATTGGCCTCAAAATATCATATAAATGAGGAAATTAATTATTTATTACTCACATTCTTTAAACTTCAGAATTATAGGAATTTTTAATAATTTTGTTTTTTTTCAATAACCATCTATAATCATACTAAAATATTGAAGAATTATAAACTATTTAAAACACTGGTCATTATTATCCAAACTTTGTTTCTTTATTAAGAATAATCTATAGATTTTCTGCTTTTTTTGAGAATTATAAATAACTCAATGATAAGTTCTCATTTTCTAGTCACCTGAATAATCAAAAGTGGTGTGAGGTTTTAATTTATTTGACAAATTATTTTCCTTTTCTACTTTGCAACAAGTAAAACATATATACCTCCAAAGAGGGTAGGAAGGAAAGTGTAATAGAGATCATACTAAAGTCATGATGAAGACAAAATTTAGGGTAAATATTGGGAAGAAAATTAACTAGAAATTTAATTAACTTGAAACCATTAAAGAATTCTCTACAAATTCTTTTTTGTTAGAAAAATGCAAGTAGTATTTTGTTTTTATTTTACAGGAAAAGTTACCATAGTCTTGACCAGTTGTCAGCAGAAGTTAGCCTTTCTCAGACTTCATTGGATCCAGGTCAGTCACAAGAAGGAGAAGGAAAACAAGACCCATTGAATTTCATCAGTGAAGGTAAGAAAAAAAAAATTGAGTCGAAAGTTATCTTTTTAATACTATTTATGTTTTCGTTACAGACAAGGTCAGAGAATAAATACTGGCATTTCTGTGAAGCATGCTAGAAATCAAGTTGCCTTATGATTAAAAATGGTCTGCCTTAGTTTCTTTCTCAGGTGCCTAACCTTCTCAGAGGCTCATCTATGTTACTGAATTATTAGTAATAATAAAGAAAACAGAAATTCTAGGCAAAAAGATAAAACTACTTACAAGGGGAAAAGAATGAGATGGGTAGTAACCTCCTCTAATTTTGCAGTGATAATAATTAGCAAAAATAAAGACTTCTAAATAACACAATTTTTTTTTAAAAAAGGGAAGAAAACATGTCATCATGTAATAATTAAAAAAAACAGCAAATAAAACAGAAGCAAAATGGTACATTATATAGGAAAGAACACCAAAAATGCATATAAAATATCAAAGAAAATATCATGTAAATAAAGGTAGTAAATGTAACAACACATACATAAAAAATTATAATAAATATAAGTTATTCAGAAGGTCAACATGTAAAGAGATAGAGGAGGACAATTAAAACACAAAGAAATCAGGGTGTAGACTTGATATCAGACAAGTAGAATTTAAGTCAAAGTGCATTAAACATTACAAAATAGTCATGTTTTAATGCTGAATGCCACAATAAAGATATAAAAGGATTATGCACCTAACAATGGCATCCACTTTTATACAAGATAAAAGGAGAAATATGAACTAGTGACAATAAGAGATTTAATATTCTCTTCCCAGTGTAAGAAAATCAAATGGACAAAAACCTGGTAAGAATATATAAAAGACCTATAGCAGAATGTTATAGTTTGGACTGTAAATGTCCTTCAAAGGCCTATCTGTCAAAGACCAAGTCTTCAACTTGGTGCTGTGAGAAGGTGGAAACTTTATAAGAGGTAGGTCCTAGTGGGAGGTCTTTTGATCATTGGGGAGCGTGCTTTTGAAAAGAATAGTGGTACCCCAGCATCTCCTCTTTTTTTTTCCACTTCTGACCATGAGGTGAGCAGCTTTGTTCCCTGCAATAGTGTGCTGCCTATCCAAGTCCAAAGCAATAAGGCCAATCATTAATGAACTGGAACCTCTGGAACTGTGAGCCAAAATAAATCTTTTCTTTTTTTTAACTATTTTTTAGTTGTAGTTGGACACAATACCTTTATTTCATTTATTTATTTATTTATTTATTTTATTTATTTATTAAATTTATTATGTGGTGCTGAAGATCAGACCCAGCGCCTCACACATGCTAGGCAAGTGCTCTACCACTAAGCCACAACCCCAGCCCCATAAATCTTTTCTTTTTAAAAGTTGATTATCTTAGGTATTTGTTACAGTAACGGAAAGCTGACTGCCACAGATATAAAAGACCTAAATAACATAATCAGTAAGGTAGATCTTATAATATTATGGAACTTTACACCCTGATTTTATAGATAACATTATATAGATATGTTATTATTATATAGATACCTTCTTAAGTACAAATAGAATAGTAACAAAATGATCATATATTAGATCATAAAGAAAATAATAAATTCAAAACGTAAAATATTGCAAATAGTATTCTCTGGTCACACTGTAAGAGAACCCTAGAAGTTATTCATCATGATAATTCTTTTGTTCAAAAGGGCCTTTCACTTGGAAATAAATAAACCTATTAAATGACCCTTGGATAACAGAAATTCAAGCTGAAATCATGAATATCTAAAAAATAATGACAATAGATTTTATGGAGTTGATTTCAAGCAATAGCCAGAGAAAATTTTATCTTTTATATACTTTTGTTAAAAAAAAATAAGATAAATAAATTCTGTTTTTTGGCTCACAAAGCTGGAAAAATAACAACAAAGTAACCAAAAGCACAAGAAAAGAAATAATAAAGATCACAAACAAATGAGATAAAGAATAAAAAATAGAGACTACTTTGCAGATCTCTACGCAAATTCATTTGAAAACCTAAATGAAATGGATAGTTTCCTCTGTAAGTATACTTCACAGAATTATTTGCATTAGAGATAGAAAGCTTAAAACACTATCCAGGAAAAAAAAATAGAGCTATGTAAGAACTACTCAATAGAAAAGGGCCAGGCCCATGTGATTTCTCAGAAGCATTCTACCTAAACATCAAAGATCAAATATTCCCCCAATGCTTTATAAATTACTATTCCAAAATGAAGGAAAACTTCTTAATTATTTTAGGAAGTAAGTATAGCCAAATAAATACACTATGACAAATAAAAACTATAGATTAATATTACTTATAGATATTGTTACAAAAGTTCTAAGTCATATATTAATGAACAGAATCCAGCAACAAATAAAAAAAATGTTATATCACAATCAGGTGGATTTGCTCCAGAATGTTTGGAATGTGAAATGATCAATATTAGAAAATCCTCTAATGTCACAAATACTATATTAATAGATCTGAAATAGCAAAGGCAATCTCCATAGATGCAATAAAGGGCCTTGGATAGAATTCAACACTTGTGTGACAAATAAGAATATTCAAGAAAAATAACTGAAAATACCTTATTTACATGAGTGTATGCGTATGTGTGTATGTATGTGTAGAACTTTTTCTTAAAACTAGTGTCTTACTTAATGGGGAAATACTTAGCTGAGGGACAAAGTAAGGCTCTACATTGTTTCTACCATAATTTCACATTATACTGATAATATTAGGTAGTGCATTTAGAGAAGAAACCTTAAGTAAAGACATGAGAATTATGTTTTGGAGATGATTTTATGAACTTGGAAAAACAGAGAAATAATACAACTAAATGCAGCAATAAAAGAAGTCCTGAAATGTAGCTAGATACAGAATTATCATGCAGAAATCTGTAGTCCTGACTTACCCAAACAGTGATCAGTGAGATACTCTAATGATCAGGGAAAACAATTTAAATAGCAACAAAGATAAAGTACTTAGACTTTGCACATATCTTGTGAAATTTATAAACTGTTCTTAAGAGACTCAAAAGTAGATTTGAGCAAATTGAAAGAAATACTTTTTTAGTTCCCCCTAAGTTTAGAGTTAACTCAGTCCTGTAAATGCTTTTGCTTTCTAATACAGCAACCATACATCTACGAATTTACCCTGAAGATACATTTAATCAGTATGAAAATATAAATGCAAGATTATTAAGCTACCTTGGCATTCCTTCCTTTTCTATACTTTTACCTAAGTGCTTAACACATTTTAAGGAACTTTTCTAGCTACTGCTTTTCTAAAATTTAACTTCTTGGGCTGGGGTCGTAGGACAGTGGTTGAATGCTCACCTCACATGTGTGAGGCACTGGGTTCGATCCTCAGCACCACATAGAAAAATAAATAAATAAAACAAAGATATTGAAAAAATAAAATAAAATTTAACTTCTTATTTTGAAATAATATTAGATTCATAAGTAATTATAGGAATGAATACAAAGAAGGGAACTGAATGTGCCTTTCACCCAGTTTACCATCTTGTTCACTTCTTACAAAGCTATAGTGCAGCATCATAGCCACAATATTGAAATTAATACAACTCACTTATTTTATTCAAATATACATGTATTCCTATATTGTGTAGTTCTATGCTGTCATTGCACGCTTAGGTTTGTGTTCACCACTGCAGTCAAGATACAGAAAAGTTCTATCAACACAAAGATCCCTTGTGCTGCCCTTTTGTAAGCACACCCACCTCCTTCCCAGACTCCATCTCTGTCCCATCCCTAATCTATGGCTAGCACTAATCTGTTCTCTACTACTGAAATTTAGTCAGTTCAATAAAGTTATATAAATCATATAGTATATATAAGACTGTACATATAGTTTAGACATGTAGTACTTCGGCTATTGGGATTGACCTTTTTCACTCAGCATATTTCCCTTGAGATCTGTCCAAGTTGTGTGTATCCATAGTTCATCTTTTATATTGCCAAAATATTCCATTTCATGAATACACTATAGTTTTGTTTTAAACAACACCCATTAAAAGACATTTGGGTTATTTGGGGTTATAAATTTACTATGAAGATTATTGAGTTTTGGTATGTACAGAAGTCTTCATTTCTGTGTCATAAATACCCAGGAGTACAGTGCTGAGATGTATGAAGAAAAAAACAAATTATTTTGATTGTACCATTTTGCATTCCCACCAACAATGGATGAGTGATCCAGTTTCTTCACATTGTTGCCAATATTTAGGGTTTGATTTAAGATATTCTGTAATAGCTCTGTATTATTTCTTACATTTTTTTTTAATTGTAGCTATTCTGGTTCATGTGGAGTGTTACCTCATTATGGTTTTAGTTTGCATTTCCCTGAACATCTTTTCACCTGCTTATTTGCCATGTATGTCCTCTTCATTGAAACACCTTCTCATGTTTTTTACCTTTTCTCTAATTAGATTACTTTTAACTGTTGCATTTTGAGAGTTCAGTAGATCATTCAAAAATCAATGCTTGTACTTGAAAAAAAACATGAAGGTAAAACAATAAATATTTTTCATATTTTCTAAAATTAGAGTAACCTTTTATAAAAATTAACTCTTTTATTGATTTTATTTTTGTAAATACACAACAGCAGAATGCATTACAATTCTTATTACACATATAGAGCATAGTTTTTCATATCTTTGTATATAAAGTATGTTCACACCAATTCATGTCTTTATACATGAACATTTTTTGCATTACAATTCTTATTACACATATATACCACAGTTTTTCATATCTTTGTATATAAAGTAGGTTGACACCCAATTCGTGTCTTCATACATGTATTTTGGATAATGATGTCCATCACATTCCACCATCCTTGCTAATCCCCTCCTAAGGCAAAAATATTTATTGGAATTTCAACATTTCTTTTACTGTTCTTTTTTTCTTATATTGATTTCCAGTCAAAATAAATTGAAAATTTTTATTAGAAGAAAATCATGACATCATACCAATTTTATAATATTCTT